CCACACGAACCTGGAAGGAACTGTTCTTAAGAAAATTGCCAATGAAGGCAGGCAGGGGGCCACGTAGGCTGAGAGCGGGCAGGTCTCTAAGAATTCCGTACTTCCAGGTTGTGTCGAAAGCTTTGTCCAGGTCAACAAAGATGGCGATATATATTCAAACGACTTGCTACTGTTCTACTCCTTGAAGACGGTGTCAGTTTCAGCATTTGTTATTTCGAACGTCCACGACTTGACATTTGTTGGTGTTTTGTGATGAGTGGTTTTGACCCAATCTGTCCTGTTGATTTTGGGAAGATCTTTAAACAACACTGGTACAGCCAGAGTAAAGGAACGTTAAAATTATTTGTGAATGCTTGAAAGATATTGATTGAAAAGTAGAAAAAACGTGCATACCCATTCTGAAGGCAATTTCCTCCTCTGACCTATAGAGACCGGCCTCAGCCAAGTTGAAGGGAGCTTTCAATTCTTTTGACTTGAAAGTGCTCCATAGCAAAACTATTTTAAAAGGAAAACTTAACCTGGAGAAAGGAGAAACGCAAAAGCTCATTTAAAGGAGAAGAGAAAATATTTTGAAAAGAGGAGGACAGATTGAAATTATAAAAGGAAATGAATAAACAGACCCAAAAAAAAGCCCAAAAGCGAAAATAGGAGACAAAGAGAATGCTGGAAGGAAATTTAAAAAATGTTAGAGCTGCATCAAAATACAGCTAAAGCTCTACCTTAGAATTACAAAGTTCTATATGATTTTTTGGGCCGTTTCAAGTTACTAAGACCATGAGCTTAGAAACCAAATGGTCTTTGTTTTAACGAAATCGTAAGATTATTCGGTGTTGTTATCAAGATATTCAAAGAATTGTTTTCAAAAAAGCTTGAATAATATTGTGAAACTCGAAAACCTTTACGTCAACTTTCTCACAACTAGGCACCGAGAAGACAGAACTTTGTAATTCAAGGGTAACAAAATGTCAGAAGCATTGTAAAGAATTTGGTGAAAAGAAAATTACAAAGATTGATCAACGCTGGCTTTGGTGAAAATGGAACAATTTTCGATAATGACACAGATGAGAACGAAGCACTTGAGAAGAGAGCTGATTGTGCGAATGAATAAATTTTTTTAAAACTCGATTGAGCGGAGTCTCTGGAAAATGAAACTTGGAGCCTGGAAACAGACTAAGATTACACTGGTGTATAAAGAATTTGCTGAATTTGAAAATGATACTCGTTTTTGATGTTTAGGTCAATTTTTTAAAAAAATATACAGCTTGAGGTCGTTTTTCTATAGTTCATATAATAAAACTAAAAGACCAAGGGCTCTTGGGATCTGTAATTTAAGGCTACAAATAAGGTATGGTATAGTAGTGTGATGCAATATTTATGAAAGTGGCAACATTTTCCCCTGTGACTTCATCGTGACCATTTAGTTTTCACTAAGTAAACTGAATGATTCAGAACCAGAAACAGCTCATTTTACTCTACTTCAATTGTCATTATGCCTCATCATAGTGTAAGCATTTCTGACAATTTCTTTTTTTCTGCCGAGAAATAATTTATACTGCACGAAGGAGAACGATTTCAAACTTTAAAACGTCTATCACGTTATTCTAAATACGAAGTTGTTCATCCAGCAAAAAAAAGTTAGGCTCCTCCCGTAGACTGCAATACATGTACCACAAACCATCGTCAGAGGGGACAAACAATGCCCTTTGAAGTGCCAGTAGTCTGGCGTGAACCAAGCAATCATTCAGATAACTGCAGCTACTACTTAACCGTATTTTGTCACCGGAAAGACATAAACTTAAGGCAAATCCGAAGAGCAAAGTTGATATCATGATATTCTATCTGCCCACACAGCTAAGATTAACCAAATGCAGGTGAGCCAGAGAAAATTACTGAACTAAAAGAAGGGGAAAAAGGTACCCCCTGAAGACCATACTGGACCTTCAACATCAAATGAACCTGATTTTAATTGATTTTTCATAATGGAAAGCTATGGAAAGCAACATCAGGGCAAATGATGTGATAATGTTTTAGCAGATTACTGTTGGTTAGTTACAAGAAATATACCAGAACTTGAATATTAGAGCTACGCCAAGAAACAATAAGTCAAATATGTGTGACGTAACCCCACTTTATAGTCCTTATTTATTATTTGTAAACATGAAAACTTAACTATCTTGAAAACAAGACCTAAACATTAAGTTTCATTATCATTTTCGTGTTAAGCGCCCCAACCTCCAAATAAAAAGTCATGTTTGAGCCCGAAACCAGACGCTTTTTGGAAATGCGTACACCAGTGTTATGAGTGTTTGAGCCTGTTACAAATGTGTTAAATGCTGAAAGTGGCTTAAATGAAAAGATGCAGATCCATCAAGGACATCTGATTACCCCAATGTTGAGTCTTTGGGCTGAAATAGATCAGACTTGCTACCAGTTTCATGTTGTTGATGGTTATTCCTTGGATAATGCACATCATTTAAGAAAAACTGATTGGCTGTGTGTGTATGCGTGAGTGCGTGTGTGTGTGTATGTGTGTGTGTGTGTGTGTGTGTGTGTGTGTGTGTGTGTGTGAGGCAAAGAGAGGGAGAGAGAGAGAGAGAGAGAGAGAGAGAGAGAGAGAGAGAGAGAGAGAGAGAGAGAGAGAGAGAGAGAGACAGAGACAAAGACAGAGACAGAGACAGAGACAGAGACAGACAGACAGACACACAGACAGACAGACAGACTGGCAGACAGAAAGGGGTGGGGGTGAGGAAGTTGGTATGGAGAAAGAGGTGTGTGTGAAATTTAGAATATGGACCCAAGCAAATTGGTATAGCATAGTCCAGCTACTCTTGATGTACCAAAGACGGTCAATGTTGAGGCAGCCGTTCTTTGTCATCTTTATAAACTTTCGCTATAGTCGTGAGTACGCTCAACCTTTCCCAGTTGCTCTTTATTAGATTCCAAATTGAGCCAATAAATGGTGGGCATCATCATCATTCATACTTTGCACAGCTGTGAGTATCACTTTGTTATATCTTAATCATATTTTTCACAATAATTGAGGTTAGATTATAAAAAACGTTTCTTCATAGATTAATATAAAAATACTATAAACCTCCGTGTCGCAAAAATTGTTCGCAGCACTTCCCGCCCCGCTTCTCACACACATTTTGCATACGCAAATAGCGTGCGTAATAGCTCACCAATGACACTTATGGCAAAACTGTTACAAGAAACTAATGTTATAGTGAACACACATTTCCATTAAAAGTTCTCAAAACATGCGTTCAATAAGTATAATGTCGAGCGAACAAAAAAATGACGGACTTACTTTTAAAAGCAATAATGCCCCAGGGGTAAACCTTTTAAAATCTGTAGAAAGCATCGACCTGGAATTTTAATTAGTATATTGTTATATCAAGGACTTTTCTAGAATACAGCTGACAGGTATTACAAAAATAAATATCGATCTTTTGAGACAAGGCAAAGATAGTAAATAACAAGATGGGCCATTCAGCCAAAAAAGTGTCCGCAGGAAGTATGCTCTTTGCTTCAGATGGCGCTGCAGTCTGTTTTGAAGCTCTCTTTCGTTTTTCCAGAAGAAGAATAGGAATAGCACCTCCTTGCGTGCGCAGATCGACTGCTGTTCATCAGCAGTTCGGGTTCGTTCAGTGCGGGGTTTTAGGTTATTTATATTTTAATGACCTCTCGCCTTTCATTCTAAAGTCAAATTAAACGAAGAAAACAATCACCCTTTCCTCCGGAAGAGGTTTTTTGTCAGCGTAACCATTTTAAAAAAGCGTTCTTCCGAAATTCATTTAAAAACTTGCTAGTTTCACTTTGATTTTTAAAAACTCAAGTAGGATAACTCTGTTCGCAAAAGGTGCGCTTTTGCGAAGAGGGCGCCACCGAATTTTGAGGACACTTTTTTAATGGACTCAAAGAGAGAAGTGGCCCCTCTTGTTATGTAGACTCATTGGACAAGGTGATACACGTCACTGTGCAAACGCTGGAGAGTCTACGTTCGATAGTTTAAGAAATATTGGCCAATAAGTTGCACCAAACATTTTTGAATGTATTGTGAACCAGGACCATGTCAGAGTCTACTGATGTATTTTAGCAAACGACTCATGGCCTTTGGATTGTTTTGGTTTCGAAGTTGAATATCAAGGTAAATGTCATCTCTACTCTCTATCGACACCATGGCATATAAGAATATAAGATTAATGTAGAATCTTAAATCATTCACTTTTTGAGTCGTGTCTTTTCTGCTTGCTTTGTAAACGCTTACGTCGTTAATGTTTTGTTAGGGATTTATTACGCGAATGGAAACATGGATAACATACTTAGTGTGGCTAAAAATAGAGAAACAAAACCGAGATATTTTTCCGACGAGCATGGTTATTTTGTATTTATATGAAAAAGTTGTGTGGAGCTACTTGACCACTTTTTTGGTCCGGATCTATTACGTCAGCTGATATCAAGATCATATAAAATACACTATTGCACGCGTTACGGTTGTAGACTATGATTTATCCTAGTTTTGAAATTGCCGAGTGTAATCATTCGTTGAAACCTGGTAATTTCACCCGAAGGATAAACCAAGATCTACCACCATAACTTAATACATTCTTTATATGTAATATAGATTATTACACGTATACAATATATATTTTTAGGTCATTTCCCCCGTCATCCCCGAGCTCTATACTAATACGAGTAAACTAACAACCCATGATTTTTTTCAAAATGTAAAACATTATTAAATGAACGATAGCATAAACATATTGCACAGGTGGGCGTACTGTAGACTCAACGGGAATTTGTCAACACTCAGAAAACCGAGCTCGGATCTCTTTCATGTTACAGCGAAGTGTGTAACCACTACACAGACGTCGGTACCTTGACGTTTAGAGAGACAAACCTTGTTACTGACCTACATACACTCTACAAAACGACTAGAGGCTCGGGAAAATAAGTAAATACGAAAATAAATGTTTAAAAAACTGAACCCAAGTCCCTTTGCAATGATTCAGATAATTTATTATTCTGTGTAAAGTTGTATTGGGTTAACTTGCAACACTGTGAGGATTTTATTCTTCTGTAAAGAGTTGGCAAACGTTATTCAAGTCCATTGTTTGTTTGTTGTATTAGTTACGTCTCCATGGCGGGCAGTAACCGGTCTGGCGAGTTTCTCGAAACTCAGAGACATCAATACGGAAAGAGGTCAGAGTGTCCTTTAAGTCGTCAATATTGGCAGGCGTCGTACCCTGTGCCCTGGTCAGAATCCAGGCCATCTCTGTGGGGTAAGGGAAGGGAAAAGTAAATTTCGACCCACATTCTAAAATAAAAAGTAGAAGTGTCTTTCGTGCATGGCAACTCAAATGTACACAAGGAGAGCTTATACTTTAAATTTTACGTACATGCGGGTTCTGAAATGGGGGGTGGGGGGTGGGGTGGGTTAACATTATTTTCATCGAAATGACGGCTACGTCATTGTCGGTGGACATTCTTTTTTATGGGACGGTCATTAAAATATTAATATAAACTGTTAATTAGCATGACACAATTAATAACATTATTTGGACAGCTGAATAGACTTAAATGTCTTGGAACATCTCGCTTTCACAGGAGACAAAGAGTCTGACCTCTGTTGGTAGGGTGGCTGGTTCTTTTTCCTCTGGGTGACTTGGTTGGAATTCTTTGTTTGTAATAATCAAACATTACGAAATCCAAACAATTTAACATTCTGATTTTTTTTCGGAAGATCAGTAGGCCTACCTGCGCCATCTCTACTTACGCAAGTTGAAGACTCCGTAGATTGGTCTGCAGGAGAAGACAACTGCGTAACTGTCGTAGTCCGTGTCTACAACCAAGTAGTTGGGGTCTCCGTCCTCGTCGTCGTCTGCACAGAAATAGAAACAAATAAACTGAATACACTAAGATATATTTTTAAAACATTCTTTTTGGCTAGCTTGTCTTTTTTGGGGGGGATTTTTTTTCATTGTTTGGTTGCGTACAAGGAAGCACAACGACACGATGGTGGTCATGGAAGGTGGGGAAACAAACAGATAGACAGACAAAATAAAAGCGGGATGGTGACGAAACAGGACCCACCATTGGCTTCCCCCAACCACCAACCTATTTCTATTGACCCATGTGAGGAAATAATAATATTGATATCAATGGCAGTCGCAATGCATACATGAATAAATTCAGAGGCTATATAGACATAATATTTTGCAGCCACGTACCGTCTAAATGGTCTATGACGGCCATTGATTGTTTAGGAGAAAAATGTCTTAGGCAGGTGGACGACATGAGCAGTGTCATAGAATGGTGAAAAAAGGAAGGGGAGAAGTGGAAAGTGGTGTTTTGTACAGGTGATTGTCTTGTACAGGTGGCTGTTAGAAAAGGATCGACTTTATGTTACTCTGCAAAGCTCAGTTCCTATGTAAAAGTTCTCGGGGGCTCTCGTGGCCTCGAGGTTACGTTGTTCGCTTCTAATTCAATAGCCTCCGGATTCAAAACCTGACAGTGAAAGACAATTTTCTTCTCTAAACGTTTGTCTTTTCACCACCTCTCCTACTCCCTAACCATGTACAGTAGTCTGCTTTCGTCTTCACCTTCTGTCCCCCTCCCTTATGCCCTTTGCCCCCTCCTCTGGGCTCCCAACTCTTTCTGCAGCTTATCTACTGCTACTCCTTCTTACTGATGTCTTTCAGCTACACCCCTGATCTTATGGCACATAAGATCTAACACATAGCCTTCTCAGATAAGGGCAAAAGAGTCTCGGAGGTACCGTGTGCAAGCTGGGCACGTTAAAGATCCTTTAATGGTCCTAAGGTCGATAAGAGTAGGCTTCGACCGCCACCAGGGCAAAATTCAATATTCCTACCCAACTGATAATGTTTAATGTGTCCCGAACGCTCATATGACCACTGATGCATTTTAACCAAGGACCTAACAACAAAACTATTATAACCTCCTTGCTCTAAATTAATCACTGAGCAGAATTTTATACATATAATGCCATATTTGACATATCAAAACAAGACGTAATGAAGATCGAAGCTGCGTTTCAAGGACTGCAACAAACGTGCACCTAAAGTATGTTGCATTGACCCTCAGAACAGAAAAAAACCCAACATGCACTACACCATGATAAGAAGAAGAGGACTGCGCATCTAGATGCGAGACAACTAGATGCGACTATTAATTCCCTTCATTGCCTGGTCCAAGACTGTCTTTGGCTCTGTGGTTGGACTTTGAGTGGAAAAGAATTTTTGTGTTAGATCGACACACATCTTGTTATTATAAGTGGTCAAAAAAGAACGTCATATTATTATTACTTCTTGGATTGTGTGCGGGTGGGAAGAAACACCCTTCCGTCACACGCCCTCACACGCCCTCACCCCTCCCATTCCTACCGTCTTCATATCTCTCATCCCTTCCCTTCCCCCACCCTCCCCTCTTAATTCAGAAAATGACAGAACTAAACAAAGGAAATGACTAAGTTCAGCTTTAATAGACAATCATCAAGTAATAACCCTCCTTTGAACTTGGTTAGTTCATTTATTACACAATTCAAAGGAGACTTGAGTTTGCTTAAGTTTTTAAGTTTGGATTACTATACTTTTAACGCAGTTTATATTAATAATAAACTACGGAAATAAAATGAGTTTTAACAGTGTACCCTACGCTGTGAAAAATATGATAATACACGACCTCACACAAATAAAACGTAGTTTGGTTAATTGTCTTTTTAGAAATAATGAATATTACCAAGAAGAAGAAGAAGAAGAAGAAGAAGAAGAAGAAGAAGAAGGAGAAGAAGAAGAAGAAGAAGACGCTCAGTCTAGCAGGCTCTGCAGGGTCCGGGGTTACGGCCTGGCCTCGGATTATAATCGGGATGAAGATTCTTAAACTTCGTCTGAGGATGAAGGGAAATTAAGATGTATTTGTAGAAGTGTTTCCCACTAATAACTCAATCTTAATATTTTAAGAGACGTGCCGCTTCGACGCTGCTTGCCAGGGCCAACTCGAGCTGTCAGCACAAACCTGCACGTAAGGTAGGCATGGGCTTTGGTCGTTTCATTACCGAGCTGAGGCGAAGATATGATTCAGCAGCATCCACGGTATCTGAGCAGCCTTTGTGGGAGAGCCCTGCTATCCACACAATAAAGAGAAGGGGCGAGAAAAGGTGTCCTAGAAAGCCAACCTCATCTACCCGGACTGGGTCACCGAGATCAATAGGGATGCCATTACGCGGTCGAAATATTAAAAGAAAACAGAGGAAAACAGGTTGCGAGAATATTCGTACCCTTCAGGATTAGGGCTCCAATCGTGAAAGGAGAACGGCAACAATTTCAGTGGAGCTCAGCTGCTTTGACCTCGATAACGTTGCAATCGGTGAAACTAGATTTTCTGATGAAGGTCAGTTGAAAGTACAGCTATACTGGGGGGAAGATCTTTTAGAATTAAGACTACATGGTGTTTGGATTTTCAGTGAAAAATAACATAGCAGCCCAACTGAAATACGTTCTGTAAGATATTAATGGCAGACTCATGGTGTTCTGAGGCTTCGCATTGGTAAGACCCATTATGCCAACATTTGTGATCTCATGCTTCTAGCATGACCAACAAAGATGATGTCAAAAATAGATTCAATTGTGACCTCGAAGCCGTCCTATTCTCTATCCTCGCTTCTGATAAGCTGTTTTTATGGGTAATTTCAACTCAAAAGTAGGCTTGGGCAGCTGGTGTCATTGGTATATTGGTGTGGGCTCATGAAACAGCACTGTTAAAAAAGTGTACAGAAACATGGACTGTTCATCACTAACACAAACTTTCAGCTCTGAAAAACTTGGCCTTCCCAGTCGTCGTCATCAGGACTGGTTTTGTGAAAATATTAAGAAACTTCAGAATCTAATTTTAAAAAGGCTTGAAAGTTGATGTCGTCCTCAGCCGGTAAATCAAATTCCCAGTCAAAATGAGACGCATAGAGATCTTGCTAAAAAGCATCTTTAGAAGATATTAAGACAAACGATAAATGACTAGCTTAAGGATATGACTAAAGATACTCAGCAGTGGGCGGATACTACCAACACTCATAAATTCTACGAGAGTTTACGCTGCATCTATAGTTTATCTCGTTTAAGTACATCTCCCTTTCTTAAACAAGATGGTTCCAAGCGCATCACAAATAAAAATGAGACACTGAGACGCTGGGCCGAATACTTTAAGGGTCTTCTAAACCGATCATCAAGAATCAATTCTGAGTCAATTGAATCCCTTCCAAAAATCCCACTTAACACTTCCCTTGATTGCCCCACCCCCCTTTCAAAGAGTATGTCATGTCTTTCAATAAGGCCCCTGGTGCGTATTCTAACCCTGCAGAGGTTTGCTTTTGATCGAGGCCGTCTTATCGAGGCACTTTACTTACTTTTCCTTTCTTCTTCCTCTGGTATCCTTAGGATGTCGAGGGGAGGTGAAGGTTTCGGCCCTGTTCTAGGTGTGTAGCGTCGGAGATTGATATGCTATGTTGTTCCAAGACGTTTTTAACCCCATCCAGCCAAGTGTTTCTTTTTTTCTGG